TTTACTAATACTTTTGTATTGCAACGTGAAACCCCTCTGGACAATGCAACATAAAGTTGTCCATGCGAGAATACTGGTTCTGGAAGATAGATACCTACATATGAATTGTTTGTCCCTGAGCTTTATTGATTGTCATTGCAAAGCACAATCGAATAGGAAACTGTTTCCTCATTAGAGGATCGATGGTTGCTACTAATTGCTTGTAACTGGTATTGGTTTCATATCGATGGATGTGGATTCGCATATGAAATCAATTGTGTTCGCATCTATGAAATCAGTTCGCATATGACATCAATTGAGTTCGCATTTGGTTTTGTGGGTCAAAACAGTTCGCATAAGAAGTTCACGATTTGTTTGAGGTTAATTGATTTTGATTTCGCAAGCTTGGAGTCGGAGATCTGGATTGTGTTCGCATCTATAGAATGCGAGGAGAATTTAATGGTGATATTCAGTTCGCATTTGGTGACACAAGTACGTGGTTGATGATTTTTGGTTGGTTCGCATTTGAAATTAGTGGGTTTCGCATTTGGCTTCGTATCTGGGTTTCTCAAACAACTGAAATGCGAATATGAGACAATTGATTAATTTCTCAGTTAATGCGATGAAATGCGAATGAACTCAAAGACGGATGGATGCAAGATGCGAAGAATTTGAATGAAAATGCGAAGTTTTTAATGTATAAATGCGAATTGGGGAAGAAAGCTTAGAGTTTCGCATTTGGCACCTGATCTTTTCAAGAAATAATATAAGTGGTCCAACTTCGCAAAATGGGGTCATTTAATCAGAAAATCGATCATTCTTCAAATATGACATTTAATCAGAAAATCGATCTAAAAATGAGACATTTGGTGTTTATCGATTTTTCAGGGTCGACGGGTTGTATGAAAAGCGAAGGCTGAGTAATTGAAAATTAGAGGATCGATGGTTGCTACTAATTGCTTGTAACTGGTATTGGTTTCATATCGATGGATGTGGATTCGCATATGAAATCAATTGTGTTCGCATCTATGAAATCAGTTCGCATATGACATCAATTGAGTTCGCATTTGGTTTTGTGGGTCAAAACAGTTCGCATAAGAAGTTCACGATTTGTTTGAGGTTAATTGATTTTGATTTCGCAAGCTTGGAGTCGGAGATCTGGATTGTGTTCGCATCTATGGAATGCGAGGAGAATTTAATGGTGATATTCAGTTCGCATTTGGTGACACAAGTACGTGGTTGATGATTTTTGGTTGGTTCGCATTTGAAATCAGTGGGTTTCGCATTTGGGTTCGTATCTGGGTTTCTCAAACAACTGAAATGCGAATATGAGACAACTGATTAATTTCTCAGTTAATGCGATGAAATGCGAATGAACTCAAAGACGGATGGATGCAAGATGCGAAGAATTTGAATGAAAATGCGAAGTTTTTAATGTATAAATGCGAATTGGGGAAGAAAGCTTAGAGTTTCGCATTTGGCACCTGATCTTTTCAAGAAATAATATAAGTGGTCCAACTTCGCAAAATGGGGTCATAAAAAGACAAAAGTGCAGAATTTTCATTTCGCATCCCTGTAGTCTTCGCAAAATGGAAAATTTTACCCAGTTTCGCATTTGGGGTAAATTTTTTTGAGAAATTGGAATATTTTCAAACTTTTTTTCTTAAAAAAAACACATTGTCTTCGTCTAAGAGAGGGAGAAAAACGATTAGGGTTTATAAGGGAAATACTTCATGGCAGTGGGATTTATAGCAGGGTTTATAAGGTGGAGAGAACAAACACACGTCTGCTATGAGATATTTTAATCAGCTGCAAATGCAACATTTAAAGGATATTTGTTGAAGCGTATTAGGATGAAAAGGTTTTAAATTTTGAATGACCATGAAATTAGGATTTTGCTGAGAAATATAAGGAATCAAAACAAATTTAAAATTTAATATTATTTTATTAATGGTTGTTTGTAATATTAGCTTAATCGTTTGTACGTCTTAAAAAAATAATATTATTATATTCAATCTATTTATAGAAATAGTTAGATTTCTTTTATAAGTAGTAAAGATATATATATATATATATATATATATATATATATATATATATATATAGGGTTATGTTATTTTGTTTTTACTAAGTATTGTGTGCCAGAATGCACAGATCTGGACCAATTGATGAAATTAATCAATGTACATGATTTGAGAGTGTATGATATTACAATGGGGTAACATGTAGCATATAATCACACAATTTTAAGCAAAAGGGTATTTTGGACAATTAACTACATTTATAAAAGGAAATTTTCGGATTTTTAGGGATGATTAATTATCCCAATTTAAAAAAATCTGAATTTTTTAATTAATTCAATTTCAAATTTTTACCAATTTTATTCTGTCAGAATATTTTTTGTTAGAATGATGCTCTTTCAGAATTTTATTCTAATAGAATATTATTTTGTTAGAATGACAGAATACCAACCATAAACTAGTAAATATATTTTCGATTCTATTCTTGCAAAATATATTTCCAATGCAGATATTTGATTTGAGACATAAAAAACAAATTCATTCATATTCTTACAGACTAATATCCTTATACATTTAAAATAGTTATACATATTCTAAAAGAATATCATCAAAGATGAATAAAATTCTTAAAAAATAGCATTCTTGAATATACAATTATTGAACAAATACACTTGATCTTCTTTAGTGGTCTGTATAATTCACTTGATCTTCGCATATATACTTGTTGTTGAACTCGATTCCAAATATTTTTCTTGTATAATCAATATTGAATTCCTTCTCTATGTAATTCTGAAAGAATAAGATACATTACTCGTTAGTATTACCCGTTAAACAAATATACTAGTTAACAAACATTCGTAAAGATATTCTAACAGAATACATTTATATAAATAAATTCTGACAGAAAACATTACAAAATGCACTTAAATAACATTCTTTTAAAAATCTTTTGTGAATAATAGGCATCAAATTGATGATTGTTACTAACATCATTCTAAAAGACATTATGCAAGAATGATGCATTTAAGCTGTAACTAAAAAAAACATACTATAAATTCTGAAGTACACAATACAACCATTCTAATAGAATGTCGCAGACATTGAAATTCTATCAAAATACATATAAACAATTAACCAAAATTCTATCATAATGCATATAAACAATTAACCATTCTAATAGAATGTGGCAGACATTGAAATTCATTTACACAAGTATCTGAATTCCAATTGAAATTCTTACTAACAATTAACAAATGGTTTATTTTTACACCAAATAACATGACCAGAACCAGTAAAAAAAACCTAGATTTCAACTATGCATTTTATCGAACACTTGGTGTGCTTCTTCAATTTCTTTAAAAAAAATTAGTGAGAGTCTTATCAGTTCAGTTTCTTGGTGGTCAAGAACTGGAGATACAACTAAAAAAACACGTTATGATTAGTACAAGAGCATACCAATTCAGTTTCTTGGTTGTGTCGTTGACGACCTAAAATCCATTATTGCCTTTGTTTTCACCTCCTTTTGTAGACTCCACAACAGGCACTGATCACCTCTTCACCGCCATCTGTTGTTGTTGCTTTTCCCCGATTTCTGTTCAACAGATTGATTTAGTTCAAACACAAAATCAATTGATAAGATTAGAATCGATTTTGATGACAGATGACTCGATTAGCGATAAACGATTTCATGGAATCGATATTTTCCTCATCCTCCTTCGAATCGGTGAATCACTGGAGGTGCTTCCCGATTTCTGATTCTAATCGTGCTTCTCCTCCTTAATCCGACGAAGATGAGCACAGGGGGATCTTCCCCTTGATCTTCTTTGCTGCCGACGACGGGAGAGGAACAAAGAACCGTTGATTGCCTTCCTTCGCATCTTCCGCCATTGAAGAATTTTTCAATCGCATATTCCGGTTGGAGAACTAGGAGTGAAAAAGGTTTGAGGATTCTGGAGGTTTTATTAGACAGGATTTAAGAGAGAGGCTAGGTCAAATATACTTATTCTATTTCCTTAATTGTAAGATTCAATTAAATGATTTCCTTAATTAAAAGTATAAAAGGTCCAAAATACCCTTAAATGATTTATTTAATTGTTTATTATTTCTTGAATTCTCATTGGTGCATTTAGGCACACAATACTTGATAAAAACATTTGAACCTAGCTCTCTCTCTCTCTCTGTATATATATATATAATTTTGTGAGACCGTGAGACCAAATCCAAAAATAATTTTAAAATGTAAAATAAATGGAAAAATCCAAAAATTCTTTTTTTAAATATTATTTTCGGAACTTCAATTAACTATAAAAAAAACAAAAAAAATCCCGTTTTTTTTTTTTTTAAATACATGAAATATTCTAATAGAATATATCACTAACATATTTTAAAAAATAAGTTTAAAATGCAAAATAAATGGAAAAATCTAAAAATTCTTTTTTTAAATATTATTTTCAGAACCTGAATTAACTAAAAAAAATCCATTTTTTTTTAAATATGTGAAATATTCTAATAGAATATTACACTGTACATATTCTAAAAAATAATTTTAAAATGCAAAATAAATGGTAAAATCCAAAAATTCTTTTTTTAAATGTTATTTTCGAAACTTGAATTAACTAAAAAAAATAAAAAAAAATGCGTCTCACAGTCTCACAAAATTAGGTCATCTCACATGAACCTAACCCTATATATATATATATATATATATATATATATATATATATATAAGAACTTATATTTTCTCGAGAACCCGATAACTAAATTTAGATCATTAGATCAAAAAAATGGAGGGCAGTGATTTTTTATGGCAGTTTTGTAAATAGCTAGAAAAAAGAGATGGAGGTATCTAACGGTTTTTTTTTTTTTTTTTTTTTTTTTTTTTTTTTTTTATAACTTAAGGGTGTTATTGGCATCTAAATAATTCATTCCCTAAATTCTCTTATCTTAAAAATCAATGCCGCAACTGAAATCTCCGACGATCTCTCCACTTCACCTTATGCCATGCCTTCTAACACCGCCTCTCTCCTCCCTCCTCCATCGATCGCTTCCATCCTCCCTTCATCGGGCACCTCTTCCATTGTCAACTGCCAATCCATACTGTTTAGGGTTTCAGATCTGTTCATAAGTTTATCATTCGTGTTTCAGAGGTTCTACCTGGTTCGTTCTTCTTCTTTGAATCGTATTTGGTTGTTTTCGAGAAAGAGATCAAAATGATCCCTATAGATCTACATAATCTGCAACAAGTCCTAAATTACATGCTGATCGATGTCGTTGCTGCAATGGTCCAGCCTAATCGTGTTTTTTACATTAACGACAACTATTGGTGGTGAATGCGGTGATACTACGACAGAAGCGCTACAATACATTTGTGTTGACCTGATGAAAATCGAAGTCGATGAGAACAACTATCTATCTCATACATTTGATTCACCAGATCCATAATTGTTAATGGACTCTTCCCCTCCTCTCCCCCACCCCCCCCTCTCTCTCTCTCTTACATCGATGCCATCTCCACCGATATCAACAACTGTGATCATGATGGCAAGTCGTCGACGTTCGGCAACCCAGCCTCCCACTTCGAAACTCGGTCGTTGTCATCTCCACCAATGACATCGAAGTCGGTAATTTTGACTTCGTCTCCCACAGTAATCAATTGGTGAGCAAGTTGAACCGATTTCAACGAATTAAAGGTCCAGGATAACAATTTTTTGGTTAGGATTCATAGATTGGAGAAATTTTCCTCTTACCTCTTACAAAATTCAACTGATATGATGCTAGGTCTTGATGATCTTGGCTTGGAATCTTGATATTTTTACCTTGCGTTTTACAATCATTTACAACTAGCATATACTAATATAGTTTTCCAGTTTTACCCTTTGGTTACAATGCAAACATAGTTCCAGTACCAGGGTGTGATGATCTTGGCTTGTCCTTACATTGTCTCATTTGCACTAACACATGGCTGATAAACGTGACACAAATACCTCAACATGCGTTTTTTACACAAGAAACACGTTTTATAGGCTATTTCTAATGATATATATGAGGAAGGCATTAATTTCTTTTGCACAATCGAGAGATCAAGAACGAGTCTATGTCCTATCTTTACTGTGGGCAGCAAAAGCAAACGAAACTTAAAGTTAAATATGTTGACCATTTACTCCTGTTTTTGACTCTCCCATTTGGTTAACTGAACTCGGACTTTCAAAAGGGCAACAGAGTCTCTTGAAAAACTGCTTGATGTAACTAGGGAAGAGCTTCCTGACATAATGGTTGTTGTTCGTTTATCAGGAATGGAAACCAGTGACTTAACAATGGAGCTCAGTGATTTAGATTTTAGGGTTAGCATTCTTTTTGTCCCATTAAGTTATGTCTGGATACACTGCTCTTTGGATAAAATATTATGTGGAAGGAAAAAGTAAATGAGAGAATATTTGTAAAAACTCAGGACTTAACTTAATCCAGTAAGCTATGTATATGAGTGTTTCTTTTTTTACTTACTACATAAAGAATGACTTAATAGAGAAAGTCAAGAAACTAAACTTTTCCCCCTCAAGTCCTATCTTTTTACAAACTTGCCCCACGGGTCCCCTCATTTCTCTTAGACTTTTTAAACATAATTTATCCATATAAGACTGTATGCAATTATTCAGACAAGAATTAATTTGAAAAAAAAAAAACAAACACCATAGTCAAGTCTGAAATTTCTGCAGGCATGAGATAACCCAAGGTGTTAAAAGCTCCACCCTCACAGTTCGTTTGGCTGAGGAAAGATTGAGGCGATTGACAAACATGAATCCACCAGGTTAACAATAATATATTCTCAACATCATTCCTAGTCCTACATACAAGGGTAAAATGATCATTTACTAACACTTGCTACATTCAAAGATCATTTATCTATTCAACACTTTATCTAACTAGTTTTTTCCCATTATTACTTGTAATATTATGTTATAAATTTACATTACTTTATTTATTTGGTTATAATCGTGTCTTAATATAACTTATAAAGTTAATGCAACAAAAAAGTTGCAAGATGAATTTGCAAAAAAAACTAACAAATGTAAGGTTTTTTTTTTTGAAAATCTATATAAGTTAAAAAAAATATACTTTTTGGTGAAAATGGTATTATGGGTTGAAAATGGTCTTAAAAAGGTCTCATTTTCCTAATTCTGCATGTTTTGTCAATATTTCCTTCAATTGCTTCCAAAATATAAAAAATAAATATAAATTAGTTTCACATATTTTATATTATACAAAAAGATATAGCATCGTGCTTTGTCTTATACAGGGACCATTAATGTAATTTAATTTTACACAGGGACCATTTCTGTAGTTTTGATTAGATAATGATCAAAATAACACAACATTCACATTTCAAAATCATAATTGATAATGGTTTATGTTCGAATTTTTTTGAATTTTTGTATTGTTCTGAATCATGGTGTAACGGTTATAAGTTAATCACATGTAATTCATATGTGAATTACATGTGATTCACATGCAAATCACAAGTAAATCACATATAATTCACATGTAATTATGAATTACATGTGATTCACATGTAAATCACATAAGAATTACATGTAATTCACACATGATTCATACGTAAATCACATGTAATTCACATATGAATTACATGTAATTCACGTATGATTCACATGTGATTCACATGTAAATCACAAGTGAATTACATATGAATTACATGTGATTCACATGTAAATCACTAGTGAATCACATGTAATTCACATATGATTCACTTGTGATTCACATGTAAATCACAAGTGAATTACATGTGATTCACATGTAAATCACTAGTGAATCATATAACTAGATATTATATACATGTAAATCACATGTAATTCATATATGATTCATGTATAAATTACATGTAATTCACATATTAATCACATGTAAATAACAAGTGAATCACATATCAATTACATGTGATTCACATGTAAATCACAAGTGAATAACATATGAGTTACATGTGATTCACATGTAAATCACTAGTGAATCACAAATGAATTACGTCAGTATGCACACATGCATTTTGTATGAGTGGTATTTGTTAATTATTATTATTTTTTTAAAATATTCTTGTGAATTTCACATTTGAATCTTAAAGGATAAAATCACATATGAATATCACATTTGAATCTTACATGATATAATTACATGTGAATCTTACATGATATATACTTGTGCATTTTTCTGAGTGTTCTTGCTTTAATCAATTTTTTTTTTTAATTTTCTTGTAGGTTTTGAAGAATTTGTTGAAAATATTGAAGATGTGAAAACTGATAAATTGAAGAAAAATATGGAAATCTTGATATGAAAAAATGATAACACTGTGAATTTTTGTAGTTTTTTTATATTTTATTTTGTATCGAATAAAATACTTGTATTATGTTTATAGATTGATTAATAAAAATCAGGTTTTTTTTTTTATAATTTACTTACGAATATTATAGTATAAGAAATATGCATTTGAAAAAATATGCATATATGCATCTAAAACGTTGATTTTTTTGTTAAAAAAATGCAGTTTTGAAAAAAAAATGCACTTTTTTTTTTATAAAAATCGCAATTTTTTTAAAACAAATGCAGTTTTTTCTAAGAAAAAAATGCGTTTTTTTTTTTGAAAAAAAATGCAGTTTTGTTTTTTGAAAAAAAGATGTAGCTTTTTAAAAAAATATTTTTTTTCATTTTTTTTGAAAATTTCATGTTTTTTGAAAAAAATGAAAAAATATCCATTTTAAAAAAAAAACGAAAATTATTATTATTTTTTAAAAATAAATCCGAAATTTTGAATAATTTTGTTAATTTTTAGACATTTATATTAACATATTAAATAACACAAAAAAATTAAACATTAAATAAGTTTGGTAAGATGACGATCATGTCCTTAACAAATTATTTTTGATTAGGGATGATCAGTTTTTCCCAAATCCCGATCCCGTACCGGTACCGAACCGTACCGAATATAAAAATATAGGACGATACTTGGTACTCCAAATATATAAAATTCAGGAATCGGTACCGTCGGTACGGGTACTAGTACTGAAAACCGGTACTATTCCCGGTACCGGTGATGTTATTTCGGTTCCGTACTCGGGATTAACTTTTAACAAAACTCGGTTTTCGGAAAATCAGGAACGGTACGGGTCGGTACCGGTTCCGTCCCACGCTCACCCCTACTTTTGATCCAACGCTCCACTTTTAGTTCTCGGGAAATTATGAGTTATCAACCGATATCAACCCTATATATATATATATATATATATATATATATATATATATATATATATATATATATATATATATTCTAATGATGATGACAATAAGCGTGTAAAATTAATGTTTTTGAACCGCAAATGAGAGATTATAAGTTAATATCCAAATTACTTTATATCCAATCTAAGAGTAGCGATCATACATGCATTAGAATATTTAAATTTTATAAGTTCATAAAGTGCCAAACATATCATTAAGGGAAATCTACGAAAAAGTCCCAAACTTTTGCCCCAGTTTATGATTTAGTCATAAATTAAATTTCACTTATGAAAGAGGACATATTACCGACTATTACACTTAGTTTAGCCCTAGGAACCGGTAACCCTTATAATAGCTGGTTACCCCAGCTCACTGTCATCATCACCCTCCATTAACCTCCCCGTCATCCACTCCTCCTCTATAAAAACCCTTTCTTACCCTCTATCGAAGCAAAAATCTACCAAAATGGCATCTTCAAGCTCAGTGGGAAGTAGGAGCAATATCCGATCACGAAGGCAAGCATTAAGGGCAACATGCTTTTGTGAAGACCCCGTTGGTAAGTGGACATCATGGAGGCCAACAAACCTTGGCAGGAGGTTCATCGGCTGCCCTAATTTCCGGGTAAGTATCCCTTAAACCTCTTTAATTACATCTGAAATCTCTTCCAATTAGGTTTTATTTCCAATATAACAGGATGAGGAAAAAGATTGCAAGTATTTTGCTTGGGTCGATCCCCCATTACCAAACAACTGGTACAGAAACTTGTCGATGGAGTTTCACAATAATGACATTCAAGTACACAATAAGTTTGCGGAAGAATTGTGGAAGAAGCTGTGGATTTTCACAACAATGGCATTCAAGAGGTTCCTGTACAAGTTGAAGGTGAAAAATGGAAGATTGGGTTTTTTTTTGTTTGTTAGTGATCGTGTGGATTATGCTGAAGTAGTTTTAAGTTGTTGTAAAACTTTTAAATGACAGTTGAATGTAAGTTGTATGTTGTTGAATGAAAAATGTGATGGGTTTTATACAAACAATTCTATGTGTGCACGCAACCCTAGAGTTGGATCTATGTTATCACTATTAGTTATACAACATTATGAACATGTGAAGAACCCTAACAATCTTCTAGGGATTTCAAAATTCACAAAAAAAGATGAAATACATACCTCTTGTTGTTATATTGTAATAACAACTTAAATCTTGAATCTTCTTGTCTTTGAAAGCAAGCGCCACAAGTGTCGCGCCTCTAATGGCTCACAAACAAACCTAGAAACGAAGGATTACTATGGAGAGAGAAGGGAAGTGAAAAATTCGGCTCTAAGCCTCTCTTGGAGCGCCTTAGACGAAATCCAACCCTATAGGGGTTTATATAGGTGATAAGGAAGGTTTAGGATAAGGTAGGTGTATCTTAGATAACCCTAATCCCTTAACTTCCTCCCTAAGGCTTCCAAGGCACCCTTAGAGCCCAAGGAAACCCTAGGACACTCTAGATTTTGTTCCTCACCTCTAAGGGAGGTTCTAGAATGCTTCAATGCTCAACTTTTGAACATTGTCACCTTTAGTCCCTATAGTTTCATTTAATTCCTTTAATCCTAAAATTAATTCCAAATTAATTTCTAATTAAATATTAATTAAACAATATGATTTCTAATCAATAGATTATATCCATAATACATTAATAAATCATTTATCTTGATTTCAAATTAATTTATTAACCAAGTAATAAATTAACAAATCATTCTTCTCTCTCTAACAATTATCCTATTCCATTTCCAGGTTGAAGGCAACCCATAAGGACCATGCACAACCAGGTCAAGTACATAGCAAATATGGTTACGGGCTTAGACACTAATCCAACAGTCTCCCACTTGGATAAGTCTAGTAACCATAAATGCGAGTACAACCCGATTGGAAATCGTAGCTCTCAAAGACACTGTCGAACTCTGATCTTATCAGTAACATGTCCTTTAGATAAGGGATCATATATTCCTCCATTCTAGATATCGTATAGACGTGAGACATGGATCGAAATAATTCTCTCAGTCTATGTGTTGTTTCCCGA